AAAAAAAAAAAAAAAAAAAAAGTCTGAAAGGGACCTGAAGCCTGAGGGTGACCCTACCCTGAGTGAGGCGATCCTGGTGAGGCAGGGCCTGCCTTACAGTGACTAACTGCCTAGAGTTACAAAAGCAACTCTTCACTGAACCGTCAAGCAGTAGCCTCACCACACAGCAACCCGTTCCCTCCCTCATGCCAAGCACCTCTGCTGGCCCTACCGTTTGCCCCCGTTCCTAGCTTCCTGCTCACACACGCTCTCTGACTCACCCTCGGCCACAGCAGCGCTTCCGACCCTTTATCTATGACTTCATCACACCTAAGTCCAGTGCAAGTCTCTTAGGTCCTGCCCAGGACTGGCAGAAAGCTCCTGCCGCCACTCTGGCAAACAGCTGTTCGTGTTCCACACAGCGGGCTTCTCTACTCCTTAGCCTTCGTCCCTTTCCCCTAAGAATATTCCACTACGGGAAGAAAGGAAACCCAAATACAACTGACCCGAGGGAGGTAATCACAGTGGAACACTTTTCAAATACTGGCCTAAAATCTAACCTACCCATACACAGAACAATACAATGACAGGCCCCAGCCAACCCTGTAGCTCTTATGCAAAAAACAAGTGAGAATGACTGAAAACTCAGCACCAAAGTGAACTTCAAAAAAGCACATCACCATAGCTCAGTGGTGCCTGGCGAGCCCAAGGTCCTGAGTTTGATCCCCAGGACCATCCCCCAGAAAACAACCTTAAGAAAAAAAAAGCACATCACCAAAATGACAGGAGAAAGTATAGAAGTCCAGGCAAATTGTTTTCTCCCTCAGTCATTCAAAACACTCATTTTGATCACAAATTCTTCCCAACACACTCAGAGGTCCTTAGGCAAATATTTGTCAGGTTGGAAGCACTCAGGGGCCATCTCATCCAAAACCTTCAGGCAGTCATCCTTCTCTTGTTGTTCTTACTTCCTTGAAAGGAACACACACATCCGTTCAGCCACCTGCTCCAAGCTTCCAGAACATGCCTGCTACTGGAAGAATCCATCAAATACTAGTGACAGAGTTTAACAGTTACCCCACAAACACACAGGGCCTGCACAACTCTGGCACACAAATGCACCAACCGGTCCTTGCATCCATCTTTTAGAGGAACATGCGGTTATTGTTATGATTTGTATTCTTTATTCTTCATAAATAAGGGCATCAAGACCACCAAGAGATTCTTTTTTTTTTCCCCAGTACCAGGGATCAAACTCAGGACCTTGTGCTTTCGAGGCAGGCACGGCACCACTGAGCTACAACCCTGGCCCAAGGAAATTCTTGCATGTGGTTGGATCTGACACCCTGGCCGTCTGACTCCAGAGCCCGTACTTTTAACCACTAACATCATCACTCACTCATCTTAGCCTTAGACATGTCCTGCTAAGCACTTAATGGACCAATAAAATATCTCTTCCCACCCCTTCCCTTCAAAGACTTTTTGTTAACCTGGCACCCTCTGAGCCTCCCTCCTTGGACCGGAGCCCACCATTCACAGCACAGAGAGTAAGGTGCCAAGTCACACTGTCCACTGGTTTATTGAGATTCAGGGAGATCCTGCCCCGAGACACCAATGTGAAAGGGACACTACCCATCACCCCATCGGTCCATCTCTTCATCCCAAGGGTCTGAGGTGTCCCTCTTTGATCAGGATCCTGTCTTCTGGAAGCAGCTCTCCAAGCCTGGCCCCGTTCCTCCACCCTAGGTTCCCAAACATACACACAGTGAAAGGGAGCAGTCCTGGAGGAAGAGGACCGAGTGTAGACTGCGGGTGATGCGATGACTGCAAAGGACAGACCGGGACCATCTGAGCAGACACCGAGCACAGGAGGGAGGAGTGTAGGCGCCCCAGCAAAGCAAGTAGGGCAAAGGGCGTAACAACGCATAAGGTGACTGCACACGGTTCTGTTGAAAGAATTCAGTGCTCTTCAGGTGAGAAGAGGGCAGGCAAACATGGATGTGTGTGGCAGGAAGACACAGCTCCTGACCCGCACACAAGGGCAGACCCGTGACCATGAGAGGGACACGCACAGCTAGTGCAGGGTCCACAGGGAGCACATGTACCCACACGAGAGAGCTCGGGCGAAGAACACGTGTGAACAGGAACATGCCCAGTGGGCACAAGCAGGGCAGGGAAGGACGTGTGTGTCCTGAGCAGCACGAACACACAGAGGAGCACACACAGTGAGCCTTGGTGAGAAGAATGAGCACTCGGAGGAAAGAAATGCAAGGAGAAAGTGGGACGGAAGGAGGGTTGGAGGGCGAGTAACAGGCCCCGCTCGAGCGGAAAGAGCACTTGTGTGGACAAGAGCTCTGCTGACAGAGGGCCAAGGGACTAGAGGTTGCCATGGTAATGAGACAGCAGTGTGTGGAGGCAGAGAAATGGCCAAGCTGACAAGGAGTCACCCGTGAGGAGCTTTCCGTGAAACACAAACTAAACTCTGAAGTAATGATACAAGAGTATATGAATGAGTGAGACAGAAAAGGTCTATTTCTCAGAGTTCTGGAGACCCAAATGATCCTAGGACTCAAGAGGAACGGGTATTTAAGACGTGGGATCGGAGAGCATGTTCTTCTGACTGGGGACAGACACCCACTTCCTCCCAGTCTCCCGCCCTCTCCCTGCTCCCTTCCCACCCCTACTGGCTGTCCTCCCTGATACCCCTCACTTGTAAAGCAAGTGGACTCGACTCCCATCACAGCTAAGCCGGTCGGGGGGCTCGGGGGGTCCCCTGGGTAGACCTCCAGAAGGGTCTGGGGGCGTTGGGGGGTGGCGCCGGGAGCGAAGCTGCTGCCGAGACTGGAGCTGATGGCGCAGTTCAGAGACCCGCTCCTCTTTCTGGAGGAAGAAACACAGTTGGGAGAGCAGAAGGGGAGGTCGTGAGGGGTGGGAGGGAGGGAGGGGGACACACAGAAGAGGGTGAGTTAACAGCAGTCAAGAGGAATCAAGTCAAGGGAAGTCACACAACATAAGGGGGCACCAAAGGAAGTCAGAGAAAAGAAAGAGAAAACGAAGGAGGAAGAGTCCGTGCACAAAGGTTCCGATAAATCACACAGATTTGTGCCGACCACCGGGAACTTCCCCATCTGACACTGCACTGGCCCTGAACAGCCCTGTGGGGCAGCATGGACAGACACGCTGTGGGCACTGCCCAGCCCCTTCTCCCATGGGTTCACTCGGCATCAGCTGCTGTGAATGCCGGCTATTAACGGCTCACAGCAGCCTCCTAATTGCTACCCACTGCCAAGGCCACCCTCCTGCTTCCGGAGCACTGAACCAACAGTTCGATTCCCACTCCAGAGCCGCCTCCCATCTGATCAGTCCAAGCTAGGTCTTACCTAAGGCAGAATCTCACTCAGTTCTTTCCTCTGTCCTATCCCACGACACAAACTCCTTGGCAGGGTTTGTCCTGAGGCCCTCGCTTCACAAATCACAATCACCTGCAGCGTCCATGTTAGGCTCTATTTCAGATAACCCACCCCAAACACCGGTCTCCTGGACCCCGCCGCTACCACACACCTCAGCAATGATCTTTTCCAGTTCACGGTTTTCCTTCTCCAAGAGCCGGGACTTTTCCTCCTCGTTGTTGTTGGTGGATGACCCCGTCTTCATGGTGTCCTGGGCCTCAGACTGCCATTCACCTCGGGTGATCAGCCTGCGCATCTGGGGACATTTAGGCAGGGACAGCAGAGCAGGGTCTGTGAGTGATCGGCTGGCAGAGGGTGAAGGTGGAAGGGATGAAAAGAGGGACAAGCAGGGCCTGAAGCAAGGGTAGCAGTGGAAGCAAGGTGCGGGGAAGGACAACAAACAAGAGTCACGGCAAAAAAGGACAGGATAGGGGGCCGGGGATTGAGCTCAGGGGTTCCACTGCCTGCCTCACAAGCACAAGACCTGAGTTCGATCCCTGGTACCAAAAAAAAAAAGGATAAGGTATCAGGGAGGGCGGGCAGCGAAAGGCCAGGAAATTACCTTGGGCACAAACAGCACAACCAGAGTAATATAAGAGGAGAACACGATGGCGAGAGAGGCAAAGGCAAAGGCTGCGTCCTGCTGGCTGCTCAGGATCATGGTAACAGGGGCGGTAATGAGGCACAAGACCTGAGGAGAGAGCGTGTGCGGGACAGATCCAAGGCTCAGGTGGAGCCGAGGGCTTCCTTCCGCCGTGACAGGGCCTATGAGGACAGGGTCCTGGGGTACTTGCAACAAGCACGATTACCCTCCACTCTAGACAGAAAAATCCCAAACAGACCATCCTACATCAGTTCTCTGAATTAGGCCAAAGTTTCCCTAAGGGTAGGAACTCCCAGAATCCCCTCCAATAAAAGTTCAGTCTTTTCAGCCTGTTTCAGTTCAGTCACAGACAAGCAATTTGACAATTCTGTGTTTGTTTCCTCACTTGTAAAATGGGTTACTAATATCTACTTCACGGGGCTGTTGCAATGAAATTAGCGATTAGAATACTGTAGGATATTTTATAAAGTACTTTATAAATCAAACATTAACTTTTGAAGGCTTCCATGCCAATGACTCCAGATCTAGTGTGCAACTCTTCCCAGCACACACCTGGGGTGCTGTTCAGCCTACAGGGTCAATGCCTGAAGTCCAGGGAGCTCACCGCCACGTTGTAGATGGCCATGCCCACAGCTCTGTGGTCGTTGATCTTCTCAGTAGATACACTTTTGGTCTCATAAGCAAGAAAGATTCCCAGCAGCAGCAGCAGGCCCTTATAACCATAGAAAATACCTAGAGGCAGGCCAGAGATTTAGCTCAGTGGTTCCATCGTCTGCCTCACAAGCTCAAGGTCCCAAGTTCGATCCCCGGCACCAAAAAAAAGAAATACGTACAGGGGCAGCCAAGGGTCACTCGGGAATCCAGGCCTTCCACACTTCTCTAAATCCTCCCCACCCCTTTTCTCTGCCTGTCACCTACCACTTCTCCTGCCTGTAGCTCCGTAACAGGAATGGAGCCGTCCTCTAACCCAGCTCCTCCGACCTAGGACACCCCTCCCTCTGATCAGCCCTGGGGTCCACCCAAAGGCCAGAAGCTGCTCTGTCACTAGACTTCATCCCTCCTCCTGGGATGTGGACACCTGTGTCACATAGGAAGATGGTGGTCATCGGACAGCTGTCAGTCGGGCAGGAGCCAGGTGAGTGCAGATAATGGGCCAGTGTGGGCAGCAAACCATGTCTCACCTCTTCCCCTCCAGGGAGGAAGTTGTAGATCAGAGCAATGTTAATAAGCTCACAGAGAGCCACAAGAGACCAACCCTCCTCTATTCTCGGAGAGTAGCAGGGAAGTTCAAACTGGCTGACAAGCTCTCCCCCGTCTCTCCGGAAGGCACTTCTCCTCCAGACCCACTGCACTCCCCCATTCCTCCTTCCCGCCTCTCCCCGACATCGCACACACCAAGCCACGTATTCATCTTCTTGGAGCTGCAGTGCTCCAGCTGGGGCAGAATAGACACATCAATGTCTTCCTTTGGCTCTTCCTTGGCAAAAGTCTAAAGAAGAAACAGGACGACAAAAAAGATTTCTGTCTTCCCCTGCCCTCCCCAACTCTCTCTGACCCCAACCCTGCCAGCTTTCTTAAGAGATCAATACTGATGCCAAGTTCTCTTCCTGGACCTGGGAATATTCCCCTGAACTTACTAGACAGATTCGTTCTCTACTCTCCCTGATGCCTGGAAATTCTACACATCTTCCCTGATCCCCACCACTACAATTCTCATGAGTCCTGAGGCTCTGACAGGGCTCCCTCTACGAAGGACAGGAAGAGCCACTATCAGGCAGAAGGCCAGAAGCACTATGTCAAAGAGCTGCTTTGTCACTAAAGACCACGCTCAGTGTTAGGGACTCCAACCGCAGTGAACTTGCTCAGCCTCTTTCAGCGGCACCTCCTCTCAAGCAATACCTCGATGGTCCGGTGCAAGGGGTCCACAATCTGCCAGATGGCGAGAGTAAGGACATCCAAGCCTACCAGCAGGCCCACCGTGGAATACAGCTTCCAAGGCTCCAGAGTCTGGGCAAACACACAGGGCAGGCTGGTCAGAGGAAAATCCTCTAAGCCGAGGAACCAAGAGCAGGGGCCAGAGTTTGTAAACAGCTCACCTTCCTCCATTCCTTCTTTTCTTCCTTCTTTGTGAAGACTGTGTGGACCCACCAGATCTTGGTGAACATGGAGCCATAGCCCAGACTAAAGCCCAGGCCCAGGAGCCAGAGGCGGGCCTGGAAGGGGAGAGGAGCACAGGCAGAACAGGGCCGGCAGCAATGGGCTCTGATGAGGATGGACAGGGTTGTGGGAGGGAGTGTGAGCAGGAAGCGGATGACAAGGCACGCAAGACACAGCCAGCAGAGGATAAAATACATGCAAAGCAAAGGGCAGGGAAGGAGATGGTCTCCCTACCTTTAGCAGCTCCTCTCAGCACCCAACTTCTGCACAACCAGTGTCCTCCTTACTAAAATCTCCTGATCGCTCCCTAATGCCTACAGGTTACAGCCTGAGCGCCTCCAGGTGTAACACACTATGCACAGCATGGTCTCACCCCGTCTAAATTCCTCTCCCAGGTGCTTACCTACGCTATACTCCAACCAGGCTGAGCTATCTTGGCTACTTTTCTGAAGTAACCGTTCCTCTATTTCCCCAGTAGCCAATTCCTGCACATCCTTTGATATGCAAACGCCATTTCCTTTGTGAGGCGCACTCACCCACTCCAACTGTGAGCTGCTTCCCTTCTTTGCTCCCACAGCACTTGCTGCAAATCTCTAGTCTGCTACCCTTCCTGTCACACAGCAGCTAGTTGCTGCTGTAGCTGCCCTCTGATCTCACTGGGAACAGACACTTCCTGATGAACTGTACGCACACGTGTGTGCAAATGCCATGCGCATAGTACAGGATCAGGACAGGTCCCAGGTACCAGGTTGCAGGAGAGCGTACAAGCAGGCAGCACCACGGGAGGAGCGAGCAGACAAGTTCTACACTCACGTATCACTGCTAAAGCCAGACGTTTCCCACAACCTTCTAGATACCACAATCCAGAAGACCTCTCTTCCCTGGCAGCAGTGTCCCTCCCTCCCTCACCCCACCCCCAGATTTTTCTGCGGTCAGCTTAGATTCTCCCTTCATCCTTCCAAATCCCAACCAGGCTCCCACGGGAAGCCCACAGCTCTGGCCCTCGGCCCCGGTAACGCAGACAAGCCACCATTGTCCAGGGGCTTTGTGCACACGCCCCTCCTTCAGTTCCAGGCCCTCCCTCCTCTTCTCTGCAAGCCACGCCATGGCAACCTCAGAAATGGAGAGCGAACTACAGGACAGAAAATGTCTGGAGGCCCAGAGAGAAGGGACAAAGCCAGAGAGAGAACTGGGGGGTGGTCTCTGGAGGAAAGGACGAGGACAAGAGAGTCAGGGGGAAATGAGGGAAGGCAGGAACCGTACGTCATGGAAAGAGCTTCTGAGGGGTGAGAGGGCCGCATCCCACGAGGTGTCTGCCCGCCCCGCCTCACCTGGCAGACAAAAGGGAACTGATTTCTCTCGATGTGGTAACCATCCAGCCCAAGGGGGAAGACAGCAGCCAATGCCAGCGAGCAGCCCACAGCAGTCAGGTTATTCAGGTTAGGCTGTGAGTTCTGGATGTAACTGGGGAAGAGGTGAAGAGCGTGGGAGAGGGAGAGCTCAGCTCTCTAAATGCCCTGCAATTCAGGGCACCGCTGCAGGGCCACAGGACTATAGGAAGATGGTTTTGAAGCAGGTGGCAGGGTCCTGACAAGAGTAAGCACGGTCATGGGGCTGGAGACGGAGCTAAAAGCTTCTCCAGCACAGGAGCCCACTGGGACGCAGTTTATTCAGAGATCAAGAACTCTGTTACCTAGCCGGGTGTGGTGGCGCACGCCTGTAATCCCAGCACTCGGGAGGATGAGGCAGGAGGATCACTGTGAGTTCGAGACCAGCCTGGGCTATGTTACATAGTGAGCTCCATGTCAGTCTCAACTACACAGTGAGACCCTGTCTCAAAAAATCAAAAAAAAAAGACTCTGTTACCTGTTACAGTGGCTTTGGTTTTGTTTTATTTTGGGGTTTTTCCCAGTTGGTTGCCTTGGAGCAGAGGTGGGAACTACAACTGGTTTCCACCCTTGCATTCTCAGGAAGTCACAACAGAACCCTCAGTGACACACAGCATTAGGAGGTACGTAGGTTTTCTTTCACTCCCTCCAAAGAGCATGATCGTTACCTTGGAGAGGCAGACAGGATGAGGGTCGTGTCGGAAAAGAAACTTACCGGACATGAGAGTTGTAGATGTTAAAGGACAGACAGACAACAGCTAGGACAATGCCCAAGCTGGAGAGAACTGAGACGGAGATGAAGAGTTTCTGTGACAGGAAGCGGAACGTCGTGATGACCAGGGTCTGGTCAGCTGGAGGGGTCCCTCCTGCACAGCACAGGGGACAGAGAGGAGAGGAGAGAGGAAGACAGGAAGTGCAGATGGACAGGAGAGGGGCAACAAACAAGTCCGCTGATGGCTGCCCGTTCTTTGGCTAAGGACAGGCAGCCCTGACTGACATCGGGGCCCTAAGGAAGTAACAGGTTATAGGACGAGACGATGGAGCATATGCCAAGACTTCCAAAACGGCAGAAGTCTCTCTGTGTCTCTGCCTCATCCCATCTATGTCTATCTCCGTTTGTCTCTCTCTCTCATTGTTGGTTCTGTTTTTCTGCCTTTCTTGCAGCAAAGGAAAATGGGAGAGGAAAGAGGGGAATAGTTGAGAAATAAACTCTATGAGGTCTTTTGCAAATTAAAAGTTGCAAAGACAATTACAGCCAGACATGGTGGCACATGCCTGTAGTCTCAGAACTCAGAGGAGGCTGAGACAGGAGGATCGCCACAAGTTCAAGGCCAGCCTGGCTACATAGAGAGAAGCTATCTCAAAAAGAAGCGGGGTGCTGGAGGGGCCAGGGATGTAGCTCAATGGCACTGCACCTGCCTGGCAAGCGTAAGGTCCTGAGTTCAATCCCCGGTATCAAAAAAAAGACAATTACAGAATAAGAAAGCAAAAAGAGCCTTAATGTATATAGTATGGTCTCCTAACCTCAGGCAAAAGAAACAAAAAGAAACCAATCTGAAATCTTAACCATGATAGGATGACCGTCTCAAATGCGTTTTACAGTAATTATTATGAGAAAGTTCAAATTTATCAGAGTTCATTAAAAAGCCTAATTTCAATTTGCTCAAAAAGAAAAAAAAAAGCTAATTTAGGTCATACAGCATTTATAGCAGTACAGAACACTGTCCTAAATTCAAACAAAAAAGAACACAAAAAGCAAAACTCCAGCAGTGCTGGGAACAGTTGGATTTCACTAGGCAGGGCAGACAGCTGCCTCTGGTGGCTCTGTTACTGCACACCCTCCAGCTGCTGAACTTTCTTCTATCAACAGATCCTCTGCCCACCTCCACATTTTTCTCACTTATCATTTAGCCCTTCACATACACCAGGAATAACTGTTTGCTTTCCCTCTTTAAAAAGCACATAGGGCCAGGAATATGGCTCAGTTGTGCTGCACCTGCCTGGCAAGCCCAAGGTCCTGAGTTTGATTCTCAGTACTAGAGGGGAAAAAAAGCTCATAGCACCAGGTGTGGTGGTACGTGTCTGTAATAATAACTCTCGGGAGGCTGAAGCAGGGTCACCATTACTTCAAGGCCAGTCTGAACCACATACCAAGACCCTGTCTCAGAAAAACCAACTAAATAAGTGCATATAAAAAACAACAACAAAAAAACACACGTGGTAAAAGTTACAATAATATTTTGCATCTTCTCCTATAGTTTAAGTAACCATTTTCCTGACCAAGAAAGAGAGAGGCAGCTCCAGGCCTGCAGAAGTTGGTTAGAAGCATCAAGGCACCAGGACATCCAGAAACCACCTGGAGTTTCCATGCCCCGCCCTCTGCCTCACACCCAGCTGTCCCAGCAGCGTACTGTACATCTGTGCCCTCTCTGGACACACCAGCCTAGCCTACACTTGCCTCTCGATCCCACCCCAACCCATTACCACTACAGCTCCCCTACAACACACACCACCCCACTTCACCAAATGCGCGGCCACTCTCCTCGATCACAGGAGCTGAAAAGGAAGGTAAGTGGAGAACTTACCGATCCACTTATCTGTTTTGGACCAGGAAAGGTCATCCTTGGTGCTGTCATAGTAGCCGATCTTCTTGTAGCTGCCACCTGAGCAGATGACAGCAGGAGTGGCCGGGGGCAGCTGAACAGCCACCCTAGGCGTTCGCATCTCCTACAACTACATCTGACGCTGTCCTCATCTGGGCAACTGAGAGACGCCTGCAAGAGGACTGGGGTCGCCTGCAACAGCAGCCTCACACATGGGGCTCCCGAGACAGCAGGAGTGGAAAGGAGCATCTTATGTATCCAACGTCTTCCTTGAGAAAGGACCCACACTATGTCTGCCATGTATTCTGCTGCCTCACGCCTCTCTTGGCAGGGTTTCTCTCAGTTTGATTCTGGCTTAGAAAGCTTGCGACATATTTCTTATTCTCTCGATCACGATGGAATCACAGGATCCATTTTCCCAGTGGCTTTCATTTTAATTTTAGAAATTCATCTCTTGTTGGCTCGGGTTCTAATTCCTTGGATAAGTTACATCCGCCTCTTAAAGAACCACTAAAAATTCAGTCATTCTAAAGTTTCTGTTCTAAAACTGTCCCAGTTAACATAACTTTTTCTTTCAAAAGCCAATTCACACCCTTTTTGCTATGGCTGAAGTCCATTCCCTCTTATCTTAGATACAAAGAAGAGCTGAAAGGACTGTGGCAGGTGGAAAAACAGGAAAAAAGAAATGTTTCATAGGAGGCCAAGAAGTGGATCTTTCAGCCAAGGTATATGAGGCTGAGAGTGGGGTGGGACTGAAACGTTAGCTCACAGAAATTCTGCAAACACATAAATGTGCTAATTTATAAGAAAGTACAGGCCGGGCGTGGTGGTGCACGTCTATAATCCCAGCACTCGGGAGGCTGAGGCAGGAGGATCGCTGTGAGTTCGAGACCAGCCTGGGCTACATAGTGAGTTCCAGGTCAGTCTCAACTATGCAATGTCAAATAAAAAAAAAAAAAAGTACAATCTAGGGCCAGGGATTTAGCTCAGTGGAACCTCATCTACCTCGCAAGCACAAGGTCATGAGTTCGATCACCGGTACCAAAAAAAAAAGAAAGCACAATCTAGAAAAGTGATACTACAGATAAATTAGGAATTATAGGCTGGGTATGGTGGTACACACCTGTAATCCTAGCACTTGGAAGCCCAAAACAGGAGGATCACCCCAAAATTCAAAGCCAGCCTGGGCAACATACAGTAGCAAGACCCTCTCAAAAAAAAAACAAAACAAAAACAAAAACAAAAATTAGGGACTGTAGAGTAAACAGCAAGGAAATTAAATAGACTCCCTTAAAAAATAAGTTTCTTAAGTTAGTTAGGTTTCTTTGCATCATTTTGGGGGGGGGGATACTGGGAATTGAACCCAGGGCCTTTGTACTGGGCTACAGCCTGAGTCCTTTATGTATTTGATTTGAGATAATCTCATCATTTGCTAAATTACCTGGGTTAGGCCCGAACTTGAGATACTCCTGCCTCCTAGATATATATATATATTTCCTAAACACATGTCCTAGACCTCCGCACTAACATTACCATTCCCAGCTTCTTTGAGGATGCAAAGACAGCTCTTTAACCCTTCAACCTGGCCTCTGAAGGGAAATTCCTGAAACTAAAATAGAAGCCACCACGAAAAGAGAACACTTGTTTCTACTTCTCAGGCCCCTTTGGTTTTTTGGGGGTTTTTTTGTTTTGTTTTTTGGGGTTCTTTTTTTTTGGTACTGGGGATTGAACTCGGGTCCTTGCACTTGCAAGGCAGGCCACCGAACTGCTGAGCTAAATCCCCGGCCCTATTGTTTGGTTTTTTGAGATAGGGTCTCACTGTATAGTTGAGACTGACCTGGAACTCACTATGTAGCCCAGGCTGGTCTCGAACTCACAGCGAACCTCCTGCCTCAGCCTCCCGAGTGCTAGGATTACAGGCGTGCACCACCACGCCCAGCTGCTCTCAGGCCCCTTTTAAAGAACACCACCAATGCAAGAGACCTACTCATACCTAAGCTTCTTATTGGTATTATTTAGAAGTTTGATGAGCACAGATAAAAAAGAAAAGGGCAGAAGAAGGAAAAACAGGCAGCCTTGAGGTGTCTCAGGTGCCCTCCCACATGCTGGGACCCTACTTCCCTGCTTACCCTGTAGCTGCTCAATAAGTGTCCAAGCCATCCGGGAGCCACTCGCATCAAACACCACATGGCCCTGAGGGGGATAAACGGGGAGGAAGGCAGAGGGGAGAAAAGCAGGAGTGAAAAGAGAACATCAGGGACTCTGAATCCTCCTGGTTTTGATGTAACTGCACTTCTGAATGAATACTATTTATGGCATTGGCCTGCATATAGGACACACCCCAGATGCCCATACCCTAGATTTCAGGAACATTGTTCTTTTGAAAAGAAACTTCACCCAGGAGATTTGAATGGGAACGATCCCCAGACAGAGGTAGGAGACCCAGCTTCCAGTTGTGTGCCCTGAGCAAGTTACCAAACCCCACTGGGCACTAATTTTCTCACTCTAAAAGGAGTGAGGAGATGAACGTGCAGGTTATTCCCTCTTTAAAGTCTTCCAATTCTCATGTGACTCTAAGTACCTAGACTGGCTTTAAGAAATGAAAGGCAAGGTAGAAAGAAATAGAATACACCATGTTATTCTTTGTAGTCTCTTGAGGAATTTTCTTGTTTAAGGATCCCTCCTCTCCTGCTAGAATGATTTTTGCAGAGAGGTAACTAAGAGAACTGGGCATGGTGGTGCAAGCATGTAATCCCAGCACTTGAGAGGCTGAGGCAAGATGACTGCTATGAGTTCAAGGCCAGCCTGGGCTACATAGCAAGATCCTGTCTCAAAAAAAGGGAAAAAAAGGAGAACGCTAATTTCTAACAGGAGCCTGAAGAGTACTCTGTTCACTTAAGGACAAGGTAATAAAAAGGAAGCTACTATAACTCACGGAGACACCCTCGAAGGATGAGGAATTCATTGCCCGGTAGATCTGGTCGGTAATGGTCTGGTTGTTGTAGTTGAAATCCTCCAGGCGTACACCTGAACGGCCACCTCCTCCAGACGTCTTGTTCAAGGCCAATGCCAGGGCCCAGATGGCGTCATAGGCCAGTGGCGCTTCCTGAAAACCTCCCGTCTCCTCGGGGTGTCTTTTGAGTCTCTTGGTTAGTTTCTCCACAAATTCCTGGGATGTCTAAATAGGAAAAAAACAAGAGGAAAGGACTGACATATGTGTGGGCACAGCAGGAAGGGGGCCACCCACTACTAGTTCAAATGGTCCAGCTGGAATAGAGGGTCTGTGTCCTGTTATCAGGTAGAACACGTGCACACCATGCATTTCACCACACACAAGTGTCTGTCTCAAGTGAGAAGCTACTGGACTTGGGCCGGCATTAGCAGGGGCCAATGGTCTGGATGTGTCAGCTGCTAGATCAGAGCTACAAACAGAGAAGTGTGATGAACAAACACTTTAGATCATGAATAGCAAAGGACAGAACAAGGCAGAGCAAAGGAAGAGCCACGGTACTGCAACAAAGACTTGTGATGCTGACACATTCTCATCCTTCAGACGCTGAGTACAGCTGACCCCAGATCTAACAACCCCTCCAATTCCAAAAAATCCTAGAACAGACGACAACACACCCTTCTCACTCTGTGTGCTAACTTCTTGCCATCCTGGTGTGACTTCAGTTCACTGACACTTAGAAGGTTTTCAGAAGACTGGGGATGGCAGAAACACCCTTCACACTCTTGCAGCCCGTTACTCAGTTCCACCCACATCTCTCTCAACATTCAACCTTCTTTTCCCAAGAAAGCTAAAAAAAGAATGCTAGTTCCTTTAACTCCCATGAGATGGATCAACAAACTTACCTGACATTATATAGCTAACAATAACCTTGTTTGCCTTAATAACCATGGGTGAATTGCTTGGTACCTAGGACTATTTTCCACATATCAGAGAAAAATCACACCTTCCTTTCCGTACCTCCCAAAAACCACACGAGGAAAAGCTTAATATCACTTCTGACAAAGCACAAGCATGACACAGGGTTAAGGATTACAGGCGTGCACCACCACGCCCAGCTGCTCTCAGGCCCCTTTTAAAGAACACCACCAATGCAAGAGACCTACTCATACCTAAGCTTCTTATTGGTATTATTTAGAAGTTTGATGAGCACAGATAAAAAAGAAAAGGGCAGAAGAAGGAAAAACAGGCAGCCTTGAGGTGTCTCAGGTGCCCTCCCACATGCTGGGACCCTACTTCCCTGCTTACCCTGTAGCTGCTCAATAAGTGTCCAAGCCATCCGGGAGCCACTCGCATCAAACACCACATGGCCCTGAGGGGGATAAACGGGGAGGAAGGCAGAGGGGAGAAAAGCAGGAGTGAAAAGAGAACATCAGGGACTCTGAATCCTCCTGGTTTTGATGTAACTGCACTTCTGAATGAATACTATTTATGGCATTGGCCTGCATATAGGACACACCCCAGATGCCCATACCCTAGATTTCAGGAACATTGTTCTTTTGAAAAGAAACTTCACCCAGGAGATTTGAATGGGAACGATCCCCAGACAGAGGTAGGAGACCCAGCTTCCAGTTGTGTGCCCTGAGCAAGTTACCAAACCCCACTGGGCACTAATTTTCTCACTCTAAAAGGAGTGAGGAGATGAACGTGCAGGTTATTCCCTCTTTAAAGTCTTCCAATTCTCATGTGACTCTAAGTACCTAGACTGGCTTTAAGAAATGAAAGGCAAGGTAGAAAGAAATAGAATACACCATGTTATTCTTTGTAGTCTCTTGAGGAATTTTCTTGTTTAAGGATCCCTCCTCTCCTGCTAGAATGATTTTTGCAGAGAGGTAACTAAGAGAACTGGGCATGGTGGTGCAAGCATGTAATCCCAGCACTTGAGAGGCTGAGGCAAGATGACTGCTATGAGTTCAAGGCCAGCCTGGGCTACATAGCAAGATCCTGTCTCAAAAAAAGGGAAAAAAAGGAGAACGCTAATTTCTAACAGGAGCCTGAAGAGTACTCTGTTCACTTAAGGACAAGGTAATAAAAAGGAAGCTACTATAACTCACGGAGACACCCTCGAAGGATGAGGAATTCATTGCCCGGTAGATCTGGTCGGTAATGGTCTGGTTGTTGTAGTTGAAATCCTCCAGGCGTACACCTGAACGGCCACCTCCTCCAGACGTCTTGTTCAAGGCCAATGCCAGGGCCCAGATGGCGTCATAGGCCAGTGGCGCTTCCTGAAAACCTCCCGTCTCCTCGGGGTGTCTTTTGAGTCTCTTGGTTAGTTTCTCCACAAATTCCTGGGATGTCTAAATAGGAAAAAAACAAGAGGAAAGGACTGACATATGTGTGGGCACAGCAGGAAGGGGGCCACCCACTACTAGTTCAAATGGTCCAGCTGGAATAGAGGGTCTGTGTCCTGTTATCAGGTAGAACACGTGCACACCATGCATTTCACCACACACAAGTGTCTGTCTCAAGTGAGAAGCTACTGGACTTGGGCCGGCATTAGCAGGGGCCAATGGTCTGGATGTGTCAGCTGCTAGATCAGAGCTACAAACAGAGAAGTGTGATGAACAAACACTTTAGATCATGAATAGCAAAGGACAGAACAAGGCAGAGCAAAGGAAGAGCCACGGTACTGCAACAAAGACTTGTGATGCTGACACATTCTCATCCTTCAGACGCTGAGTACAGCTGACCCCAGATCTAACAACCCCTCCAATTCCAAAAAATCCTAGAACAGACGACAACACACCCTTCTCACTCTGTGTGCTAACTTCTTGCCATCCTGGTGTGACTTCAGTTCACTGACACTTAGAAGGTTTTCAGAAGACTGGGGATGGCAGAAACACCCTTCACACTCTTGCAGCCCGTTACTCAGTTCCACCCACATCTCTCTCAACATTCAACCTTCTTTTCCCAAGAAAGCTAAAAAAAGAATGCTAGTTCCTTTAACTCCCATGAGATGGATCAACAAACTTACCTGACATTATATAGCTAACAATAACCTTGTTTGCCTTAATAACCATGGGTGAATTGCTTGGTACCTAGGACTATTTTCCACATATCAGAGAAAAATCACACCTTCCTTTCCGTACCTCCCAAAAACCACACGAGGAAAAGCTTAATATCACTTCTGACAAAGCACAAGCATGACACAGGGTTACCTGTGTAATGGATCTGGAATGTGTTAACAGACACAAATTCTCAGGAATGAATAAATGAAGAATAAATATCTTCTTATCCTCATGCCTTGATCCTTTTTTCTTTTTTACCTTCTATTTAACTTCATGGAAATAGACAGCCACAGTACAAATAGCTTGGGCTTTGAAGGCACACAGATTAGACTCCACTGCTACTGAGGACAAGATCAAGTTCCATTCTTCTCTAACACTAGCCCTGTGCCTGGTCCATAATAAACAAACAATAAACATCCACTGGATTGGGACAAGAAAATACTTTGTATGCTATTCTAATGGTGGATACAAGTCTATACATTTGTACAAACGTAGAGAACGTACAACAGCCAAATATAAACCACAGACTTTGAATGCCAAGGACCTACCAACGGTTTCCTCGATGGTAACCAATGTACCACTCCAGTGGGCAATGCTTATAACAGGAAAGGCTGTGCATGTGAATCTAAAACTGCTCTTAAAAAAAGCAATGCTGGGGGGCCAGAGATTTAGCTCAGTGGTTCCATGGCCTTCCTCGCAAGCACAAGGACCCGAATTCGATCCCCGGTACCAAAAAAAAAAAAAAGGCAATGTAAACATTATAAACTAATAAAAACATAAAATTTCTAAAAATAAGTCTGTTTTCCATTGAATGCAGACGGATCCTACTCCCAGTAAATAGGGCTCAGGGATCTGTAAACCTTTCCAGTTGGTTCTGAAGCCAGCTAGGGTTGGGAAGGACTGATCAAAATAAACCTGGGCCTTTCCTAAGGAGTCTAAGTCTCTACGGCTCTGCCCTCCTATATCCAACTCCACTTTGATCCACTTCTTTTAGTTCTACTTGATTCACAGATAATCTTCCCTCATCCGTTAAGGCTTCTTCTATCCTCAATAGGAAAGTCTTGTTTGCTGCACCTAGCAATTTAGGGTCCTGTGGCCTCAAAGGCAGCTCCTTTTATCTCTAGAGACCAAAAGCCAGAAAGAAACATCTTGCTCTGAAGTCCAAGTGTCCTTCAAAGCAATTCTTGGCTTTCTTTGAGCCTCCTTGGCTCCCTGCTATGCGACAAAAGCCACAGTTGGAAGGCCTTGGCTTTGGAACCCCAACAAGCCTTTCTGACTTAGGTAACCAGCCCAACTACTTTCCAGTTCTAAAGGGTGACTCACCTCTCAGGTACTTTATAGGGATGCGACCTTCCAGAATCCTTTTGCAAAGACACATTAAACACAAGCAGTCACCTCAGAGAATCTGAGGAGTCTCTGACCAGTCCACGTGGCAGCTGACCTTTCGTCACAATCCACTGCCACACCCAGTTAAACTTTTTTTTTGTTTTTGGTACCAGAGATCGAACTCAGGACCTTGCACTTTCAAGGCAGGCTCAGTGCCACTGAGCTAAGTCGCCAGCCCAATTACCAACTTCTTGACCCTTATTTCTCCCTTGTTCAAAAACTTCCATAAGGCCAGGCGTGGTGGCTCACGCCTGTAATCCCAGCACTCGGGAGGCTGAGGCAGGAGGATCACTATGAGTTCAAGACCAACCTGGACTACATAGTGAGTTCCAGGTCAATCTCAACTACATAGTGAGATCCTGTCTCAAAAAACAAAAAAATTGATAAGGGTTGAGGATGTGACTCAGTGGTAGAGAGTTTGCCTACCAGGTGCTTCTTACTTTTCCATGGGAAATGATGGGGCAGAATGGTCTAGAATTAGATTCAGCTAGGACTCAGGTTTCAACAGGATCACTCGAAGGCACATGTGCTGGGACGAGACACTAAGCCTCTCTGAGTCCCAATTCTCCCAGTTTACAAGAGGTAAATAAGAAATACATATCATGTTGCTAATAGGTTCACCAAAATTATTAAGATCTGAATTTACCAGATAAAATCAATTGTTGCAAAGACCTTTCTTTTTTGTTTTTTGAGAGAGGGTCTCACTATGTAGTTGAGACTGACCTGGAACTCACTATGTAGCCCAGGCTGGTCTCGAACTCACAGCGTTCTTCCTGCCTCAGCCTCCCGAATGCTGGGATTACAGGCGTGCGCCACCACACCCGGCCTGCAAAGACCTTTCTAAATAAAATATTTGGGAAGGGGTTACCACCTCTATCTCCCACCCAGCATGCTCTCAAAAGCAGATATCCAGACCCAGCAACACACGTGGTGCAACAGCAGACACTGCTTGCCCTATCCTGGATCCACGTGCAGTGCTGAGCAGCCCTGAAGCTCCCCTGCCCCCCACCACACTCACCATGCCCCCACCTGCAGGGCTGCCTCCACCTTCTAGCTCCCAGTCCATCGCTAGCTGGCTATCTGGGGCTAAACTACTTCAAAAGTTTCTTTTACATCTAAAATTCTAAAAAAAAAATCACTTAAAAAAAAAAAAACAGAATCCAAGCTAATTTTGTATCAAACATGACTGAGTATTAAGCAATTCCTGAGGTGCCGATATAAGTTACCAAGAAAACAAAATATGTTTCTGCCCAGGAATAACACTCTGGTAAAGGTGTGCTTGCATCTATATTATCGTACACAAGCACCTATGTGATCATTAAAGCTGCTCCCTCATTTGACTTCTCACCAACGGCTCCTTGTTTCCATGGTAACAGCCCTTCCGCTCATCAGGGACCTACTGAATATACCACTCTCCTTTCTCTCTCGCCCACTGAAGTCAGAGCAGAGGTAGAATCCACAGGAGACATGTCACAAGCAAGCTCACAGCGGCACGGACCCCTCTCCCTCTTATGCACCTGAACTCCACAAGCTCTCCCCTAACTGCTATGCTCCCTCTGTCCCCTCTACCTTCCTGGCTGCAGCCTCTCCACCCTATATTCTCACCATGTTGGAAATGCTGCGGGTATTGGCAGGGTTCAGCATGACAATCTCAGTGGTGATATGGCCCTCCACGGCCTCGGTCATCTCGTCCACTGTGCAGTTGATAGATGGGTCATACGTCTTGAACCAATTGTCAGCGTACCACCCAATGAGGAACCAGACGTACTTCTTCCCAAAGAGCCGCTCCTTGTATACCTGCCCACAGAGAAGAGGGGTTGGGGTGCGTTCTCTCAGAGACACTGGTAAGACTCTTAGGAATCAGAGAAGAGCAGGAGAATTAAGAAAAGTAAGCCACAAGTCTGGGGTAACAGAAGGGGCTCAACAACCCTACCTCCTAAGGTCCTGCCCAGCCCCTCTTTTTCTGAGTGGTCTTCCCAGATAGCCAGGAAAAACAGGATTCATGGGCTGTCCATGAACCAAAAGAGGGAGGAACATGAGAAAGCACTGCATACAGCCACGTATGGGTGTATGTTTGTGAGAGGAGAGAGCAAGAGACAGAGAGAGAATGAGGGCAAGTGTGCAGATGAAGGAGGGAGTCAAGGCCATCGTATTAATCATCACCTCAGTCATTCTGACTGCTATCAATTTGAACAGAGCTGGGGACTTAGCTCGGTGGCACATTTTCCTTCCTTATAAGCACAAAGTCCTGAGTTCAATCCCCAGTACAAAAAAAGAAAAAAATTGAACAGAGATGTAGTAAGGAGACTCCAGAAAAAAACCAAGGCAGAGAGTCCACCTAGACCACCCCCTCTACAGATTCCCACTCTACCTCACAAAAAACCTTCCGGGCTTCGGTCTCATAGAAAAGTCCCACAATTATCCGGGCATCCTGGCGCTGCAAATGGAGACAGAAAGAGAGCTCCTGAGGGTGCCTGGGGGTGCGAGGCCAGGCGCTTTCACAGCTTTGCTCTCCCATCCCAAAGTGCTTAGTGCACGACAACTTTCAATGGGTAGTGGGTGAACAGCAGCTAGAAGACACAGCTCATCTTCCCCTGAGATGCTGCTGCCCTACCGAAGCAAAGTGGATCCCACTCAACTCTACTCTCCAAGCCACAGTCTGCACACTGAGCCTGCCACACCCAGCCAGCCCACCTTCAGGTTCTTCACGGGCACGGCTGGATCTGAGAAGAAACTCTGGCGGAAGGTGATCTCGATTCCAGCCTCCTTCACTCGCTCCTCTAGGTCATCCAGAGTCTAAGATGGGAGTGAGAATCAAACAGCAACATGAGGGGCACAATGGAGTAAACGGATGTTAACTGGAGACCACACTCAGCAAAGGAGAGGTGTTCGCAATGTCCTCTAGCAGCTCTGCACCCAGGTGAGGGAGTCGGGCAAGTGCCGCAGTCCTGGAGGCAGCTTCTGAGTGGGTCTGCGTCAGGGACGCCACCCAATGTGACCTCTACCACTGAGAGGAAAACACAGGGGAGCCACAAAAGATGAGGCAGGGGCTGGGACAGACAGCACGACGCAACCTCATCAGGGAGCAACTTGCCCTAAAGGACAAGGGGCAGATGGACAAAAGGTTCACAGAACGGCCAGAGTTGCTGAGAAACAGAGAAAGGCCTGCTGAACACAAGCGGGGGAGGACCCAGAGCCACGCATTCCCTTCTACCTCGGGTCTCCCCGACCCCTCAGCACTCTGTCCCTTGGTATCTCTGTGTCTGCCACCGCGTCCGTCCGTTTGTCTCCTGCCCTCCTGCCTCTCCCTCTGTTCCCTCACTCCCCTTTCCCTTGTCCCTCTCCACTACCTTCACCTCTTGGTTCCCATTCACACCCCTGCACCCCACTTGAGCTCCCGGGGTACATATTTCCTATTGCCTTTCTCCTCTTGACTCAACTTGGAATCGAGCCTACTTCAGCAGAACCGAGTCGCTTTGGGTCTGTGGGAGCAGACCATCAAAACAGGGGAACAGAGCACCAAAAGGAAAATAAAGTCATTAAAAAAAGATGGCCCAAAAATCCTACTCCCTGGTTCCCCGGTACAGAGAGAACATGCCCTCCATTCACTTGGAATGTGCTCTTGGATTCGAAAACAATCGAAGACTTTTCCCAAACGGAACCCTATCTCCTCTCTCAGCAGCGCAGGGCGCACCGACGCCCCCGCACGCTCCCCACCCTCCTCACCGAGGTGAAGACCTCCGTGGTCTGCTGGATGGTGGCGATCTTCTTCCAGCCCCACTTCTCAAAGAGTTTCACGCGGGTGGGGTTATGCAGCGTGGCGGACGGGTGTGTTCGGAAGAACGTGGGGAAGCGCTGCCGGTTCGACAGGGCCGGCGAGCTGGAGCCGTAAGAAAGCTAGGAGGGGCCGCGGATGTAGCTCAGTGGTGCGGCCGCCTGCCTTGCAAGCGCGAGGACCCGAGTTCGAGCCCCAGCACCACAAGAAAAAGAAAAGAAAAGAAAGCTAGGAGGGTGGAGGACAAAGCAGGCCAGAGACGTCCACGGTGGGTTCCTGGAGGGCTGCTCAGAGCTCCTTGAACTCCCTGTGTTTCTGTTCACTCCCAACCTCCCTACCTGAGCCCTAGAAAGGTGAGTCTAGAGGCACCCATGCCCCTCACAATCAGGACGCTCCTCCTATGATCTACTTCGGTTCCCTGTGAGGAGGAACCAGGTTGGGCCGCTTTTGCAGGGAGGTGACAAGCTCACGTCTACACCGTGCTCCCGGTCCTGAAGCGGGCTCCCTGGCCTCCCCTCTCAAATACAAGCCCACCATCCCCACTTAGCACAAGCCCAGAGGACACCACCTCATCTTCTGACCTGGCAGGCCTGCTTACCACAATGAGGTTCCACATCCGGGCAGCCTCAGCCACAAGTGTGGAGACAGAGCTGCAGCCGGGCATGAGGATGATCTTGATGGGGTCATTGTAGAGCAGCTCATACAAGTACTTGGTGGCTTGGCCTGGGTCACACTGGGTCAGCAAGGAGGGAATGAGGGCAGGCTCTGTCCACCAAGCCCTCTTCCACTTGTAATTCCCACTGCCTTGTCTTCTCAGACACCTTCCTCCGTTACCCTGCTTTACTATAATTACCATATTCTTTTCCTTCCTGGCATCTGTCTTTGTCAGATTTGCTTCTCTTCTCTCACTAAATTACCTCTGTCTTGTGTGACCCCTTATCCCTCCTGCACACTCGTCCTTCAGTATTAACCCACCTTCTTTCCCAGCTCATCCTCAGATATCCTCACGCCCGCCTCCCAAACCCCTGCTCCCCACTGTTTCCATCCACCAAGCATCTCCAGGTTCCTGTACAGCTTCCTCAAAGCCTGTTAGGAAATTTCTTCCTTTGTCTCTGCAAACTCCCTCTCCCTCCCTTTTTTTTTTTTAATCTTCCCCTTTTCCCTCCTCTCTTTTCAGGGCTAGTGATAAGTAACAAGCAAAAACAGGAACAAAACCAGTAGGGGTCTGCTCTCTACCTCCATCTCTGCCTGCTGGGCCCTACCATTTGACAGGTCCATTAGGAAAAGAAGACACCGGGGTTAGAAGGAGGGAAGAATCCAAGGCCAGGAAAGAATGGGGAGAACGTATAGGATGGAACTCTCCAGAAACTAGATATTGCCTAAAAGAAAGGCACAGAGCTGAGAGTGAGCAATTCAGAAAGCAGGAGAGACGCTGGGAGGCAGGGGAGTGCGGGGGGGAGGAGGAGGCGCTGGTCATGGTCTCCCCACCGCCCGTGCCCCTCCTGCTGAAATATGACATTTCAGAAGCTGCTGGAGCCCCAGAGGAAGTGGAAAAGAAATGGCAGCCAGCGGGGAGCCAGCACAGAGGGTCACAGACAGGAAGCACAGAGGACAGGAGGGTGAGCTGGGGGTGAGGCAAGTAGAAAGGAAAGGAAGAAGGCTCCCTGGAGCCTGCTCGCTCCCCACTGAGACCTAACCTTTGGGACCCTGTGGGAAGCTGGGGGGGTAGGGGACAGGACTGAAGAGCTGAGAGTCACAACCCCACCCTCACTTCCTGCCAGAAGCAGTGCTCAACTACACTTGGAAGGCTTTCTCTTCATGCCTCCCACTCGAGTATCGCTGTGTGTCTTTACCATTCTGGGTCCCACCTTCCCGCACCTTCCCAGTACTTGTTATTCCAGACCCCACGCCCAGCCTTCCCTAGCACCTGCCCACGGCTCATCTGAAGAAATGGTCCGTAGGGACTAGGAGAACAGACACGGGAGAACCTGGCAATGTAACCACTCCCAAAGCGAGCAGCCTCTGCTTCTGCTGGTTCATTTTTTGCTTTCATGTCCCTTCTACATCCTATTCATCACCACAGACTCTTCCTCTACAAGATGCTCCCCAGTCTCCTCGACCCTTCCTTCATTCTCCTCCTCCTCTGCTCTTGCAAGGATCTGCACCTGCTGGCAGGGAAGGGGTGATTGCAGGCCCTGCTCCTCATCCCGTGCTTTGCAGCTTCTGCTCCCTTCTCCTCTAGCTCCCTACCTAGGTCATCCCGCCACGCCCCACACCCGCAGGGGACCACCTGTCAGGTACGCGAGTTTCAGCCCCCAGCCTGGCCGCCCGTCAGAGCCTGTGCTTCCTTCCCCTCCCGGGCTCTGTCCTCACACTCCACCCCCTGCCGCCCATCACCCCTCTGGCTGCCCTAACCCTAACTCCTCCACCAAAGCTGACCTGTTTCTCTTCCTTCCTCCCTATCCCCACAGCTAATTCTTCCCTGCACCCTGCTGCTCCTTCCACAGGCACCTGGGGTTAGTGACCGTTCAGGTATCCACCAGGCAGGACCTCTGGTGGTAAACACACAGGTGCTATGTGGGAACCCTCCTGACCAGGGAGTTCGATCTGTGTTTCTAAGTAACTCCTCTGGTGGCTCTTATGGACACGAATGTTTGAAGAGTCCACGGGGATTTTCCGTTCTCTCCCCAAGCTCCTAACGACCCTTGCGCTCTCCTCTTCACCCTGCCCGTACCCTGCCCGTGGACCCTCTCCCTCACATGCCTATTTTCAGATGTATACTCACAGCCTACAGAATGAGTATAAATCCCCGGCCCTCTAGACCTCACCTTCCCTATCACCCTACTCCCATCCCTGAACCCTCTGGGGCCGCGTGGTAAAGACAGACCGAGGAAGCCCCACATCGCCTTCCTCCTCTGCGGGTACCCTCAGTCGTCCACTTTGGATTGACGGGGGCAAGGAGACCTTACTACAGGCTATCCTGTAACATCCCTGAACGCGCACGTTCGTGCCTTCCCTTCTGCCTCCGTCTCCCTCTAATGTCCTCCATGTCTCATCGCACGTCCTAGCGGTCGGAGGGCTGAGTTCAGAGGCTGCTCCAGGACCCTCCGGTGGGAGCACTGTCCGCACCACTCCTCTTTGACTCCCACCCCCACTCCATTCTTTTCCACCCTTTCTTTCCCTATATCCTGACTCTTCTACACCCCCACGTTATCATGAGGGCCCCAACTCTCGGCCACGTCTCTCCTGGGCCCTACAAGTCACATTTCCACAGTCTAGGAATCCTCAACAACGATGGGGCAGAGTGATTTAGTGCGGGAGGGCTCATCTCGCGGTCTCGCTGTTTGTTTTGGTAAACAAACGAGCTCTCAAGTCCCTCAAAAATTTCCTCTTTCTCTCCCTACTCCTCCAGCCACAACCTACGCAAGACCTACCTTGTTTCCATGGCAAATGTAAACCCTGCTCCAGCCCCCCATCTCTGACGCTCCTTCCAGCCCCCAACCCAATCCAGGATTAGTTTACTTTCCGAGAGAACCAGGGTCTTAGCAGACCCTAAATTTAAATTCATCACCAATATCCCCAGCCCCCTACACTTCCACGAGCCTCTCCCTGCAAGGTAAAAGCATGATTAACATTGTGAACCCCTAGACCCTCGTCTTGAACCACCAGCCCCCGCCACCCTCCAGGAGCTCCTAAACACCCAGTCATCTCACGCAGGTCACCAGGGCGTCTGCCTCGCAGTCCCAGAGGGACTGGGGCGCACGGCCTGGCCCCTGCCCCAAGCCCCCTCCGGCCCACTCCCACGCGCGGGGCTACCTTGCTGTCGTGGTGGATGAGCTTGAGCTCATAGTCCGGCAGGATGTCCCTGCGGCTGTTCACGTCCTCCAGCGCCATCTCCACCGCGGGCTGGCAGGCCTGGCCCCCGGGCCAGCCCCCGCTCATGGGGAACAGCGCCCCGATGTAGACTGCGCGCCGCTCTGGGGAGGGGTGCGGGGGGACCCTCGGGTGAGGACGCGGGAGGCGAGGGGTCTGAGAGGCCCACAGA